ATGGCTAATCCGGCTTTTGCCTTATTGGATGAGCTAATTGATATTTCATACACATTTCAAAGCTGAGGTTTAAAGCTAATATCTCAAAGCACTAATCTAACGGAATACATAAAATGGTTATACTCTAAAGAAGATAGGCATAAATATCTACATGTATGTTACGAAAACGTAAGACAACTAATAGAAGTCTACTATTGTGTCACTGTGTAAATAAAAAAGGTTTTTTTTTAGTTTTGCACGTGATTTATCAACATTTAAAATGACACATTTTTTGTAATACAATATATAACGTATGATGGATGGATGGCTTATTTACGGTCAAATCATTTAGGAATGTCGTGCTCTGTCCGACCGAATTATGTGTAATATTCCTTTGGGATTTGATTTCAAGGTTACTTACGTAACGAAGTGCTAAGTTAGCCTTTTTAAAATTTGGCTAAATTCACACACAACTAAAGCACAGTCCAAGTATATATATATGTCCTAGAATGATTGTATAAACGAGAATAGTACAGCCTTAATCAAATTAATGGGTTCGCTTCGCCAGTGAATACCGAAAAATAGTAAAAATATTAAAACAAAGCTCTTTCATTGCAGGTGAGTGAATCTTCACTACTTGAGTGCAGCAACGGGCGCTACACTGCGTCCGATACGGTGAGTTCTTTTGACTATTATTTTAATTCTTACTGGAATATTTTCTAACTTGCAAAATAAGATATTAGAATTTTGAAAATGCAGTTGCGATTTATTGCGTTTATTACAAATACCTTAAAATGAAATCTATACCTATATTATAAAGCTGAAGAGTTTGTTTGTTTGTACGCGCTTATCTCAGGATCTGGTGGTTCGAATTGGAAAATATTTTTGCGTTGGTTAGAGCGTTTTTCGAAGAAGTCTTTATCTTGTATACACCATCACACCGTGACAAATAGGAGCGAAGAAACAATGGAAATATGGAAATCTCTTTAAATGACGCGAAAGACGTTGCTGACACAGCTAGTTACAAATAAATTAAAATCCTATATAGTAAGTCACAATTATGACGAGGGCATGTGTGTGTGTGCCTATTTGTAATTGTGTGAGTGAGTTGAGGTGCGAATAGAGGACTAGAGCAAGCGATAGGTAGTGATCGAAACTAAATATATTGTTGCTATACATTAAAGATATCGACGCCATTCATTTGCGAAGGGAAAATTTTAATTTCTCCAACATTTCGCATTTCATTTTACGTTGCAATGCAGCTATTAAGTTTCCTTCTTAACAAGACCAAAAAATAAACGGTACACTTTTAAAAGACTCGAAGAGTTAATCAACAAGATTTTCATACTTGCAAAAGTATCAAAGCGAAACTCGCAATCCGCAAAGTTACTCAGCTTTTTTCGCTTTTCCAACTTCTGTAACTACATGTAAACATTTTTTCCTCAACTTTCTATACAGCACGTCCAATATTTGAATTCTATTCGCTGAATCGATACTCGAATGTCCTTAGTGTGATTATATCGTCGCTATTAGACATATTTAATTTTCATTACGTAAAGCTCCACGTTGAAAAAGGTAATAGAATTAAATCAGGGTAGGTCAAAGCAGATAAGAGCCCTTTATATCTTCTGCGTAATTGTATTTACGGTTCCAACTTTGTGAATTTCAAGAGCAAAAAAAAACTCATGTACTTATATTCCGCTAAGATGTTTCGGCTCTTTCGAGGGCTTTCTTGTAATTTTAAATCAATGTTACGAATGTTTTTTCTGTATAATTGATGATTGTGTATTATGTTTAAGGAGTGATAAATTATTGATGTTTTGTAAACAGTCATGTATCGGTTGTTGTGCATTCTTACGCTGTTCATATTGACATATACTTACATATCTGAAGACCTAATAACCGATGTGCAATTTCATTGGTTGTATTGTTAATTTCAAAAACGATTTATTGAAAAGTAATCAGATAAAAGATCTAACAAAACTCAATGTTTCGAAAACACAAAGAATGAGGTGCCTTTATAGTTCAATACTAAAATAATAAATTATGTTCGTTAGACTCTTAAGAAAACCTTGAAGATCGTATACTATATCAATGTTAAAAATATCAATGTAAAGAATATCAATGCAAGGATATCATCATCATCATCATAGCATCATCAACATGACAAATATTAGGGGGCTCACAAAATGTTTCTTTTTAGACTTATAGTAAACAATATATTATTGTATGTACTATATATTATTGTTTTTAATTCTTAACAAAATACTAAATAGAATAAGTAGTGTTTTGTTATAACACCTAACGCGCCTTTTCTACTTAAAACTTTACATATTTTGAATTATCAGGTCTCATGTTTAAATAAAACACTGTTAACATTTTAAAGAGCGAAATATTTAAAAATTAACTTATTTAAAAATTACCTTACCAATTACAGACGTTTTATTGTGTGTTATTCGCGTAAACTATTAACGATACTTTACCGGGTTTTATCCAACTTGTGTTTTATCCTTTCTAAAAAAACCTCTAGTAGATCTATGTCCTTACAGAGAAACAAATACATACTTAAATTCAATACTAAGGCAAATGCTGGGCCTTACCTCCTTAAAAGTCATTACACTCCTACTTAAAAGATCATGATACGTATGTTTTCATACATTGTAAATATAAATGCTACAGCCCTAATTCCACGTTTCGGCTTGTTCACGGTTTGGAAAGACTAATTACGCCGCGGTTTTTGCCACCTCTCTCTTATGTTATGTTATCACGGTGCGCTAAAAAAATTTTACAACCTTACCACGAACTATTTTTAACACTAACAGCTGGTATGATATATTTTGATGGCATATTTCTCACTGTCTGTAGTTTACATTTAAATAAACGTTTTAACGGTTAAAAACGCCATATATATTAGTTAAACTTATTTAATTATTTTAACCACGGCCCGACGTTTCGGATGTTTTGCATCAGCTTATATATATATAATTTAACTGTTTTATTTAAAGGCATATTTCTCGCTCCTTACGCTAAGTACATGTAGAATTTAATGTACTTTAGATGTTTAAAACTGTAAACCGTGTATCTACCTAAATAAACTATTTTTCTTCGTGTTTTTTATCTAAATTTTAAACATTCAGTCGCCAAGTATTAAAAAAGGTTACATAATAGTTGAAATGAATCACATACTTCTTTATAACTATATTAAATTATACTTACTTAATAATTAATTCATTCCCAACACACATAATGTTATATTATGAAGGTTTTATTCTATAATTATTGGTTATAGTAGTGTAAAAACTATAATCATGAAATGTCTGTATTATCTATGTATCTGTTTATAAATCTTGATAAATCTATAAAATATGTATTTTAATTACTGTAAGTGGTATGATATCGCTTCGCAAACATTTTGGGGACTTGTGTAGTTTTATCAGATACATTTAAAGTTGTATCCATCTAGTAATTACTTAGATCGTTGCCATTAAACATGTTTTGATGTATACAAGCAGATAGTCCAAATTGCCAAGCCCTCACAGAATCGCTCCGTACGCGAAGCGTCGACGAGTTTTTGAATTTTTAAATTGCTCATTGTACGATGGAATGTTGCTAGTTGCATGCCCCCTTATAGAGCACCAGCGAGGTAATCGAATATGTACCCAAATACAATGGGTTATGCTCCAAAATACAACGGCCCACTCAGGAGCATATAGCGTTTATATCGGTCGGAGTGAAACACTCGCAAGTCTAGGTCGCGGTTCTCCTGAGAGTGCTGCTAACGAATGTCATCCTAAATATTTGATTGTTAGAGTCGAAATATCCTTGGCGCGTCTAAGTGGTCTACTCAGCATTAAATTGCATTGTATCCATACATATAAAATGTATTGTCTTGAAAAAATTACTAATGGATATATTTTTTTACTTATTCTAGTGCTATACATAGAGACGTGAACCTTGAAGTGTGTCTTTGTCGAGGTTTGGAGTGTGACGTGGTGCGATCCTTTAAGAATAAAAAATAACAATAAATCTATAGTTAAAATTAATGTTTTATAATTTTAACTTGCAAAAGTAAAATATTCTTTATCAATTTTAACGATTATTAATTTTATATTGAAAAAAGTTTAACGGCTCGGAGAAGCCGTGAGATGCGTGTGTATTGTCTTTGTCTCTCTATATATGTACATATCTATAGTCAACGCTGTGTACATAACGCAGACTTATTCTTACTATAATTAGCGTAAGTAGTTTAAAACATGTTTGTGTATGTGTTTGTAAGCCTTAATAAATAAATAAGATTTACGTAATATATGCCGATTTTTCACTTATATAGAGCCACTATGTGTACGTGAAAAATTTTAAAGTTTTCATACGTTACTAAATTTCGAATGATTTTAGCCGCCCTGGTATCTTTTAGACTTCATGTACAATATAATTAGCTTAACTAAAAATTGCTTTTATTTCACGTTGAATTAACCAGTTGTAACAATACAAGGCGGGTCTAGTTCTATGATGCAGCGAAGAATATTACTACACCTTTATATCGAAACTTACACAAGTCAGTCAGTCGTCATGAGAAATACAAATTCACTCGTGTGGAATGTAAGACGATAAATAAGATAGAATGTTCGAAAGATCGCTTCTAAGTTTCCGCGCCCAACAAAGTTGCTCTTATGGAAGTGAATAAATGGATACGGCTTATGCATTATATGTTAGTTCGTATTATTTAACGAAAATTCGGCTTACAATCAGTTAATTCGGTTTCTGATAATTATTTTATTCCTAGAATTCTTAATATTATCTTAGAAATCATATCTCTGTTAAATTAATTTCAGAGTTCATCCACCACTTATCGTGTAGTTACTAATATCGAATATATCTGTTCAAAACCGAAGTTTACTTTTAGTGTCTTTCTTTGCTTGTTGCTTTTTGCGATAATTATTGTTCTTCTGTACTCCGCGAGTAAAACTATTTTTTTCCTAGGATTCAAATCTGAGGCTTTCAACGCTTTTAGTTATAAAACCATGCACACTGTCCTACAAAGGGTTCAGGTAATTGAAGATTTCTTTAATGCAACTTATTTTTCGTCCATTTAATAACGTTGAAAGCAAAACAAGAAAAGTTAAACCCCAATATGCAGGCAAACAATCGAATATTCGAATATGAAAATCCTCATTCACGCTCGCTTTGTTATTTTAATTAAATTAAAAGCAAAATTTTTCCGTTACCCTTTTGTCGAAGCGCAGTTCGCTTTGTGATTTTCAGGTTTTAGTCTTGGCGGCGGTATATTTTAGTGAATTGAAATAAATCGTAAAACCAGTCAGTTAAATATGTCCGTGGTACCATTGTTTCTGTACAAGTAATCGTAGTCGTCGGCAGAACCCGTTCCACGCCGGCGCAAGCGCAGTAACGTAGAATGTTATTACCTTAGCAACCGGGAAGCGCGGGCGCAACGGCACACGAACGAGAGGGAAGACGGAGAAAGCTACAGGAGGGACAGGGATGCAGCTCGTCAGAGGAGGCACGGGGTCAGTGAAAGTGCATTGCCATTGCACACAGACGATGAGAAAAGTACATCTAAACGTGTGTGAAATATTCACCATGGGAAACAGCGCATCAGACAGAATTCCACAGATTATTTTTTCTCGGAATGTGTTATTATTGCGCGCTTAAATATACTCTCTTCTCAAATAAATTGTAGCGTTTGAACGTGTTAAATCACGCTGTGTTTTAAGAAGTACGAACGTTTCTCGGAAAGACCTGATTAGATAAAGTGGCAAAATTTGGTAAAGAAATATACAGAACCCAACTGCGAAATAAATCCGACCTAAATCATATCTGACTTTAGGAAACGCTACATATGAAACAATGACGATCAAACCGGAATAAAATTGGGTCAATAAATAAAAAAAACGTGTCATCATTAAAAAACCCTTGAACGAATATATTTCACATGGATTTGACGAAGCAATTTTTGAACGGAGAGAAAATGGCATTATTTCGAATCTGATGCGGTATGGGGTATTTCAGTTTGAGAAGGTAAAAAACGTGTCAAGTGGGGTTTAATTCTGTTCTCAAAGAGGCAGTTATAAGCCGAAAACAAAAGGCTTCGTAGTTGTTTCCTTTAAGATATACCTATTAATTCAGATATAGGTACAAAATAAGACAAATTTATACCTAAAAAATTACGTTTAGACTGTAGTTTATAAATACACACTATACCAAAACATTACCAAATATAAATAGCGTTTTAAACCGATATAAGTGCTTTATTTCACAAATTATAGTTTCAACGTATTAAATAACCTAAGCAGTCACAAATAAAATTACTTTTTTTTGTCTATTCATTCCTAAGTTAGTCTTCAATTGGTTAATACTTTAGGTGTGTATAAGCAAGCTAATTGCAGAAAACTGTTATATCATAACGTTTTAAAATTTAAATACTGTATTTTCGTTTTTATGTGTATAATATTAATAAGTAAATATTTTCGAGTTGACATTGTTTTTATATTAAGAATTAAATTGTTTTATTACTATGAGGCTACGGTATCCAAATAACATAGAAGTGAGTCTCTCTTCTAAATTTCCCATACTTTACTTTTCCAATCATCTCTAAGCCCGAGGGTGACATTTAGGACACATTAATTCTTTCAACTTATATTTGCTGGCGCGGGTATAAAATTGCAGGACGTCCAGCCACATTGAGGTACATCGGAGCATAATTTAATATGCAACGAATTTAATAGTTAATGTTCGCGACTCTCAGCAAGCTCGTGTGTGCAAATTACTCCACACTTATACTCTGGAGGGTATCTTGGGATTTATGTGTGTACTGTGTACTGCCCGGCTTAGGCAGCTCCCGATCTGATTTATACTGTTTTCTATTGTGTGTGAAATCCCCAACGTGGGGTATGGGGCAAATAGATTTCTGTCTGTTTCACTGATCGATTTTAGTTACAAGTTGTTGATCAGACTTCTAAGTTTTGCTAAATCAAAATTTGTATGTTTGTCATGTACGCAAATCCAGGATTTTTCGTGCCAAGCACGTGTGTGTTTAAACAAGCCACAATCGTAATTTCTATTTTGTGATATATTTTATTTATACTATGTCGGACGTTAGAATTCAAATATAAAAATAAAAATATAATTAAAATATACATCTTCCGAGCTATTTAGAATCGTAATCCGAATCCAAAGCCAAAATAGTTTATATTGTTTAATTATTTATTTCTTTTATGTCGTGGAGTAAGTAGTTTTAATTTTAATTGATATAATGTATCGTATTTTAAAATGCAAAAAGATATTGGAAGGTATTTGTTTTAATACACGCTACAAAATAAGCATTAATGTAAGTAATTGACTTTTACGAAAAGAAAACAATCTCTTTCAGCATTGTCACGTAAAACGCTTCGCAAAGACAGCTCTCACTGTAAAATAATGTAGATACACCGTTGAAATTAAAGGCTCTCGTTACACGCAAGAATCCTAGTACGAAACGCCCGCAGCCAATTATAAATTAATTTACAACAGATTACATATACCGTGGATACTTCCAGCAACTTTTTAATTAAAATTCTTTCAGTGAAGCCGTTTTAACTTTTCCGGCCTATGCTTATTCTGATCTCTATGTTGTTAAGTTTTGATGTTTTGTCACATTATTTAATAACAAAACTTTGAAAATTTATATCCAATTCAACTCAAAACTTAAATACTTACAAGTTCTTGTCCGTAACAAGACAGATACAAACATGTATAAAATACAAACAGTATTAATTAGTACGTAAAGAAATCAAACTCGTTTTTAGGTAACTAAAACAAAGAATGTAAATTACTTTGAATCATTGTAATTTTTAAAAGTTAATCCAATCACCAATAAAATAAGCGACATGGTAGCTTATATTCATTAGGTAGTAGATTCTAATCCTGGTCATTTTAAATTACTTCTAACTCAAAAGGCCTTTAATATCAAATTTTAAACAGATAGGCATATTGTTTAGATGTTATACAGCTATATAAGAAGCTGTGTCGTGCTATGTGCTTATAACTTCTTGGAGATAAAAATAATGTTTTATGTATATAAATTTACTCGAATTCGCTATAGTAAATGGCGGATAAACATATTTAAATGTGTACTACTCGCGTAAACTAAACTGTACTTAGTTGCGCTGTAAATTATTTTATAAAAATGTAAGTTCTTATCATACCTAATTACATACTTTTTAAAATTCTTAAGGTCACAGATTCGAGACAAATGTCATTTAAATGACGAAGCAGAGATTCAATGTATTTCGGCCGAAGGACCACTCAACCCAATTCTTTTCATATCTATGACAGTCGGAATACTAGGGAGCTTTTAAAGATACCTATTCATTTTGACCTCAAGACGGTGGGGGACTTAATAACGGGGGCGACTGAGTCGCATCGTCATTATGATTTAATTTCGGGGGAAAACGCCGGTGACAGCCATCGTAGCTATTATTGTGTACCTCGATTTTCTCAACATGTACAGTACCGCGGCGCAATGACCTATCTCTGCCATTCTACTCGTCATACTTCCCGTTGTGAGTGAGTAAAACTGTATATTTCGTACCTTCATTTCTAGAATGAACGGGTCATTAACGGTAAAAAAACTGATTCGGGTTTGGTTGAATATTTTTTTTTATGCAGAAACGAAAAAAATATACGAAACATGATAAAAGGAAAAATACCCCAGCCGTATAGCATCCTAACACAAACACAAAGCGCTGTCGGTTTGTGACCCGGACTGAGATTCGATATTACGATATCCAAATTTCCGGACAAAGTCCAACATTAAGTGCTCTGTTATTTACGCGAGTAACATTTACACAAAACACTTTTAACGGTTTAAAACGCAAAATATATCAGTCAACATGGTCACCGTGGTGTTGTTGTGCAAATATGTTTGAAAGCATCCGTAACGTCGGGCCGTTTTTAAAATAATTTCTATATTAGTTTAACGAATACATTTCACGTTTAAAACCATTAAAAGTGTTTAATTTAAATAGAAGTCATGTTTATATGTTTATAATTCTTCATAAATTGATTAGAAACATGTGAAACACTTAGCTATCATTAGATTAACAAGCCTATCGTAGTCTGTATAGTCTTTTCCCATGTTCATAGACAAGGAACCGTTCAAGCGTGAGTTCGATTCACACTTATCCGATCTTTTATTTCCACGGAGACAGCGAATTAGTATAATTAGTCTTAAAGATTTTCTAATTTAATCCGTGGAATTACGAATCGAGATAACAGGCGTTCCACCTCTTCGGGAAGTCCCCCAGTCCAATTTATTCTAAGTTCCCTCCGTAATAACCACGGCAGAGGTAAGTGTGCTACGTCTACATCCAATTCGACGCAGTTGATCGGGAATATTTAGGAATACTCGTAAATATTTATTTATTACTAACTGCGTCCCGCGGTTTTACTCGCAGCTTATTAATTTTAAGCGTAAAATTAAATCACAAATAACACCTCAATGAATTTAAACACTCGAACAAGGCTTAAAGTAGTACGCATTCGAACTAAATATGACATGACGGGACTCAAACCCGCTACTCCTACAAACTGAATTATAGTGTTGGTGACACAGGCGAGACACTAGATAATTTTCAAATATTATTCTTGAAAATGGCATATCTGTATACAATTTTGAAATTTATAACAGTATTTATATAAAATACTTAAAATAATACATTTAAATTAATGTATATATTTATTACTGTATATATTTCGCGTTTTAAACGGTAAAAAGGTTTATATTTAATTGTGTAGGTACTACACGCGTAAACTAGAGAGATTACTCAATCGCTATCTTGTTAATTTAAAACAAATCCATGTAGCCCTATATACTTATGTGTTGATGGATTTTACGTAGTCAAATCAAAAATGTATTCTAGAAGGAAAATACCGCATTTGAGCGTTCATAATCCTTATTTAATCATCCCTTCGCGAAGTTTCCTTTTGTTATATTTGAAACTTAGAATCGTACGTGATTTCTTAGCATCGTTTTTGGCGATACCCCTATCTAAAGGGTTCTTTGTATCTCTTTCTCGTTTTATATGAAAAGTAACTCTATTATAAAGCAATTTTTTATTATTTAGTTATAATGCTGTGCTAGGTAGCTTGAACTGCGTTTGAATTTGCACTATCTAAATTAGAGAAAAACATTTATCGCTGTATAAATAACTACCTAAATTTATAAGAAGAGATCGCTGCTTAGCGATAAGGCCTTTTATTTACACCCTAGTACGTAAGTTTTTTTCCTTGTAGTTTTTGTGGTATGTATTGTGGACAATAAAGCTGTCATAAATAAATAAAAATAATAAATTTTAAGCAATAATCACACCAATCCATCACAACAGCGAACTAAATACCAAATTATAGTGAAAAGTGTGAAAATGGTATCCAAATGATAATTTCGAAATGAAAAAACCCATTATTTACATTATTATACAAATGGGCCCGCTACTTTCGTAGACATTAGCACCTGTCACTGTGTCACTGTCTTAATAACAGTATTTATAAGGAAAACTCGGTCGAACACGAAAATACAATTTGGAAAAACGTG